GGAGCGCATCCTGACCCCCAGCGACTTCACCAACAGCAGGGACGTGAGGGTGACCTGCTCCCGCGAGTTCGGCCTCACCTGCTTCAACACGCACCAGCGCTTCAGGTCCAAGTGCGAGGACTACGCCATCAGGGTCCTGTGCTCGTGCGGTGAGCGTCCGGAAACTCGTTCATTGCTTGGGGTCACTGTCTTTTTTTTTTTTTTTTTTTTTTTTGACCGGTACACGAATTCAGAGGCTAAGAACACGAGACGAGAACGACAGTCCTTGAAGTAAATCCTGATGTTTTTGATAGGTTTCAAAAATCTTTTTTTTATGTGTATTTGCCGTTCAGTATTTTTAAACCCTTTTTTCGTTGGCATTCATTTTAATCCTTTCATTTATTTTCTATCATATTTTTTACATTAGATATTTCTTTTTTTCTCTTTACCTTATTCTAAACCTCGTGTAATTAAAATCCTTCATTTTGTTTCTCCATTTTTCCTCCGTTGTCGTGTCTCCTCGACGCCCCCGCAGAGGCCACACGACCGACGCCGCCGGCCAAGGAGGTCACCACGGCCTACACCGACGTCCGAGAATCCACAGTCATCACCACACCGCCGACGGCTGTCTACCGTGAGTGTTTTATCTATCTTTATTCCTTTTTTTGGGGGGGCGTTTTATGGTTTTCGTTCTTTTTCTTCTTATTTTGGCATTTTCTTATTTTCGTTGCTTTGTTTGGATGACCTTTTTACATCCTCTTTTGGTATTTTCTTATTTTCTTTCTTTGTTTTGATTTTCTTTTACTTCTTTTGGCATTTTCTTATTTTCGTTCCTTTGTTTTGATTTTCTTCTTCTTTTGATATTTTCTTATTTTCGTTCCTTTGTTTTACGTTTTTTTACTTCCCACTTGCAAATTATGTGCTAAGACTCAGCGTTGTTGTTTGGTTTATTAATTGTTGTTAGTTTATTCTTTGAATTCTCATCAACTGAATTTGATAATGAAGGAAACTCCACTCAAAGCCACTATATATTCATTGCCCTGCATGACGACCCCCCTCAAAAAAATGATAAAATAAAATAATAAATAAAGCATTGACCTTGATTAACGTGCAAGAAGTGGGAGAGAAAAAAGGGAAAATGTTACCGACGTCTCTCTTGCAGACTGTCCTCCCGGTACACGCTACGAGCCCAACGCTATCCGGTGCGACCGGGTGTGTCTCTACTACCAGTTCGTGTTGAAGCAGACCGGGGAATGTCAGGTGAGCTAGACTGCGCTGTTTTGTTTGGGGTTCGTGGGTGAAGCGCCAGGCATGGGTCGTTGTCTGAGGGGGACTTGAGTGTAGTTTGGAAGGAGCTGCAACTGACATGGTGCTGAAGTTATGCATAGACTGATAGATAGATACATGTATGCGTGCATTCATACATGTATATATACATAAAGACATGCATATATACATACATGAATGGAAATAAAACGTTCTACCGTGTTCATGGGTAATCCAGAATGCAAGAATTAGGTTTATTAAGATATGTGAGATAACAGTTTCGGAATCCTCCTGGAATCCATCAGGCCCGAAGATGGATTCCAGGAGGATTCCGAAACTGTTGTCTCATATATTTCGGTAAATCTAGTTTGTGCATTGTGAGTTTTTCTACCATATACGTACATATAAACACACGCACACACACACACAACCCCCCAACCCCCCTTTCTTTCCTCCCACTCCCACCTTTCTTCAGTGTCCATCCTGACATCCCCTTTCCCACCAGAGAGAAGGAGACTTCGCCCCGGCCTGCGTCAACATCACCTCCCCCGTGGCATGTCCCGGAAACCAGTACCTGAGAGACAAGACGACGTGTGTGGACATCGAGGACTGCAACTGCCGACTGCCCAATGGCATGGCGGCGCCGGTCAGTGCTCGCTGGCGGTCAGCGGTCTAATGCTGGTGTTGTTTTTGTTGATGATGGTGCTGATCGTTTGCTGGTGTTGGGATTATGATGATGGGGATGATACTCAGAGTATTGATGATAATGATAATAATGACAACAACAATAGCGAAATAAGAAGGATTATTATCATTTTTATCATTGTGTGTAGATATGATAATGATAATAATAACAACAATAATGAAATAAGAAGAATCTTATCATTATTGTTAATATTATTTTTTGTCACGATTATTATTGTGATTATTATTAGTTATATTAGTAATTGTAGTAGTAGTAGTAGTATTGTTTTAATACTTGTACTGTTAATATTACTGATAACCATTATTATTATGAACATTATCATCATCAACTACTACCACTGTCACTATCAATATAACCATGACTCATACAACAACACCCACAACTGCAACTATACATTTTATGAATATCAACCTTACCGACCATCATAGAGCTAAAAACAACTTTTCCCTGTGATTTTCCAGCCTGGTCGAGCTTTCAGAGTGGACGACTGTGAAGTGTGTCAGTGTAGTAACAATTACCTCATGTGCGATTCATCACCCTGCCTCCTCACTGCTCTCCCTTCGATCAAGATTACTGATGAGGTGATTATATACAGTTTTTTTATTGTTTATTTATGTGTGTATGTGTATATGTAATTGCATACTTTTATATTGTTTTTGTATGCGTGTATGTGTATATGTATTTTTTTTCTCTTTTTTTCTATGTTTATCTATATGTGTATTTTTGTATAGTAAATTTGTCGTTTAAGATGGGTGTTAGGTATATATATATATATATATATATATATATATATATATATATATATATATATATATATATATATATCTTTTTCTAACTAGATGTGGTCATTATTTGCCTTTCTTGAGTAATTTGTAAAGTTAAATAAGATTGGATAATAGTTATGTCAAGTGAAACAGAAATTACCGCCTTTAAATGTTTTTTCATGCCGCTTTCTATAAGAAAAAATAAATAAAAAGAGGGTATTTATATAAATTCATCTAATCTTGTTTTCTACTCATTTGCATTCCTGAAATATTTGTATAAATTCATCTAATATTATTTTCAATTTATTCTCATTTCTCATGTGTCTGTATACATTTATCTAATTGTATTTTCAATTCATTTTCATTGCTCTTGTGTCTGTTTAAATTTATCTCATTTTATTTTCAATTTATCTCCATTTCTCACGTGTCTGTATAAAATCATCTAATTTGATTATTCTATTCATTTTATTCTATATTCCCCCTCTTCAGCCAAGCTTCCAGTGCAACGGCTGGAGTTCGTGGCTCAGCGGCTCCGACGCCAGCGACGGGAGCGACGTCGAGCTCCTGTCCGACCTGCGCGCCATCTACCCCAAGCTGTGCTACTTCGCGCAGAAGATCGAGTGTCGAGTCAAAGGAAGTGAGTAGTTAGTCGGGCGTCTCTAGTTTAGCGTAGTTTGTGTGGTAGGTTTAGTTGTGTATTTTTGTTTATATTGAGTTTGATTGAGACGTTAATGATATTGAGATTGATGAGAAGTTGAGTTTGGTGTGGTTGAATGGTGGAATGCGTCAGAGTGTAGTTTATGCCTGGCATGCGGCATGAGAACATTTTTAGTTAAATAGGAATATGATAAAGCGATGTAGTGTAGTTTATGGTAAATTTATTAGAGGCTGGTTTTGGTGTGGTAGATGGTGTATTTGTATTTCTGTAATGTTTGTTTATGTTGTTTATGTCTGATAGGTGGTATGTGGTGTCTGGAATATGATTTTGGTTTAGATATAAAAAAAACAATATTTTATTTCTGATATCCTGAAAGAATGAATGACACACAGGTAATAGTTTATTTCTTTTAGAAGTAGACCTGGTTCTTGTCACGGAGTAATTTGAGTTTTCCGTCATTTTCTCAGTAATTTGAATTTTTCGTGATTTTGAATTTTATCTTCATTGAATCATTTGGTTTTTCCATCCTATTCTCACACAAGTATTTTTTTTCCTTTTTTTGTCATTGAATAATTTAAACTCTCTACCATTCCCCCGCCATGTAATTCTAATTGATTCATTCATTTATTTATTTATTTTTACTTTTAGCTTTACTTACTTTTTCAAATCTATTTTAATTTTTCGTGCCACTGAATCATGTGACTTGTACATTATTTTCCCACACATGCAATACTAATTAGTTTATTTATTTATTTCTCTAATTTGTTTTTAGCTTTGCTCTTTTTCAGATTTAGTTTTTCCCATTCTGAATAATTTGTTCTGATAATTTGACCTTTTTCTCCTTCCCTTCTGAATAATTTGACCTTTTTCTCCTTCCCTTCTGAATAATTTGACCTTTTTCTCCTTCCCTTCTGAATAATTTGCTTCTGATAATTTGTTCTGAATAATTTGACCTTTTTCTCCTTCCCTTCTGATAATTTGACCTTCTGAATAATTTGACTTCATTCTGAATAATTTGACTGAATAATTTGACCTTTTTCTCCTTCCCTTCTGAATAATTTGACCTTTTTCTCCTTCCCTTCTGAGTAATTTGACCTTTTTCTTCTTCCCTTCTGAATAATTTGACCTTTTTCTCCTTCCCTTCTGAATAATTTGACCTTTTTCTCCTTCCCTTCTGAATAATTTGACCTTTTTCTCCTTCCCTTCATTTGATTCCCTTCTGAATAATTTGACCTTTTTCTCCTTCCCTTCTGAATAATTTGACCTTTTCTCCTTCCCTTCTGAATAATTTGTGACCTTTTTCTCCTTCCCTTCTGAATAATTTGACCCTTCTGACCTTTTTCTCCTTCCCTTCTGAGTAATTTGACCTTTTTCTTCTTCCCTTCTGAATAATTTGATTCTCCTTCCCTTCTGAATAATTTGTTTTCTCCTTCCCTTCTGAATAATTTGACCTTTTTCTCCTTCCCTTCTGAATAATTTGACCTTTTTCTCCTTCCCTTCTGAGTAATTTGACCTTTTTCTTCTTCCCTTCTGAATAATTTGAAAGTAATTTGACCTTTTCTCCTTCCCTTCTGAATAATTTGACCTTTTCCCCCCTTCTGAATAATTTGATTCTGAATAATTTGACCTTTTTCTCCTTCCCTTCTGATAATTTGCCTTCTGAGTAATTTGACCTTTTTCTTCTTCCCTTCATTCCCTTCTGAATCAATAATTTGACCGCTTCTGAATAATTTGATGATTTGACTTGACCTTTTTCTTCTTCCCTTCTGAATAATTTGACCTTTTTCTCCTTCCCTTCTGAATTTGACCTTTTTCTCCTTCCCTTCTGAATAATTTGATTCTGAATAATTTGACCTTTTTCTCCTTCCCTTCTGAATAATTTGACCTTTTTCTCCTTCCCTTCTGATTTGAATAATTTGACCTTTTTCTTCTTCCCTTCTGATTTGATGAAATTTGACCTTTTTCTCCTTCCCTTCTGAATAATTTGACCTTTTTCTCCTTCCCTTCTGAATAATTTGACCTTTTTCTCCTTCCCTTCTGAGTAATTTGACCTTTTTCTTCTTCCCTTCTGAATAATTTGACCTTTTTCTCCTTCCCTTTAATTTGACTTCTTAATTTGCTTCCCTTCTGAATAATTTGAATAATTTGACCCTCCTTCCCTTCTGAATAATTTGACCTTTTTCTCCTTCCCTTCTGATAATTGACCTTTTTCCTTCCCTTCTGAATAATTTGACCTTTTTCCTTCCCTTCTGATAATTTGAGAATAATTTTGAAATAATTTCTCCTTCCCTTCTGAATAATTTGACCTTTTTCTCCTTCCCTTCTTTGACCTTTTTCTTCTTCCCTTCTGAATAATTTGACTTCTGAATAATTTGACCTTTTTCTCCTTCCCTTCTGAATAATTTGACCTTTTTCTCCTTCCCTTCTGAATAATTTGACCTTTTTCTCCTTCCCTTCTGAATAATTTGACCTTTTTCTCCTTCCCTTCTGACTTTTTCTCCTTCCCTTCTGAATAAATGAATAATTTGACTCTGACCTTTTCTCCTTCCCTTCTGAATAATTTGACCTTCTGAATAATTTGACCTTCTGAATTGACCTTTTTCTCCTTCCCTTCTGAATAATTTGACCTTTTTCTCCTTCCCTTCTGAATAATTTGACCTTTTTCTCCTTCCCTTCTGAATAATTTGACTTCTGAATAATTTCTTTTTCTCCTTCCCTTCTGAATAATTTGATGAATTTTTTTCTCCTTCCCTTCTGAATAATTTGACCTTTCTCTCCTTCCCTTCTGAATAATTTGACCTTTTTCTCCTTCCCTTCTGAATAATTTGACCTTTCTCTCCTTCCCTAGCTAAGGAATCGGCTCTAACAGCTGGTCAGAATATAGACTGCAATCCCTTCAAAGGACTGGTTTGCAATAAGGATCAGAATCCTGGAGGCTGTCTGGTAAGAATGCTTTGGGATTCGATGCTATGTTTTTTGTGTCATTTTCTTTCTTTATTTATATATTCTTTGTGAGAGAACCTTTCAAAAGAAGTATGTGGGTGGCATTTGATTTGATATTTCTTCTTTCTTTTTCTTTGATATTTTTTCTTTCTTTCCTTTTCTCTTTTTTATTCTTCTCTCTCTTTCGATCCTTTCGGGAGGCAGGGGTAAATAAAGGAATAAGTTTGAGATTATTTATTTTTCTCTTCTTCTTTTGTTGAACTGAATGAATGGGTTAATACATTTGTTTACATTCCCTTTTTTTCAAGAAATGAATATAAGAAATACGTGAATATAACTTTTTACTCAATTTATTTTCTTTTTGAATCAGATTTGCCTGAACATATGTTTTTATTTTTTCATTCCTTTCCTTTTTTAATCAACCTCTATATTTATGTTCACTCTTCACCAGGATTACGAAGTGCGGTTCTGGTGCGACTGTTCAGAGTTCACCGATATCCACGCCGGGGAACTCACTGAGCCGACGACAGGTAGGTGCCGAGTGGTGTTCATTTTCCTTTTTTTTTTCTTTTTTTTTCCACAAACGGATAATATGAATTTAGAAATGGGATGTATGTAGATATGTGTATGTGTGTATGTATATATATATGTGTGTGTGTGTGTGTGTGTGTGTGAGTGTGTGTGTGTGTGTATGTATATATATGTGTATGTGTGTGTGTGTGTGTGTCTGTGTCTGTGTATATATATATATATATATATATATATATATATATATATATATATATATATATATATTATATATATATATATATATGTGTGTGTGTGTGTGTGTGTGTGTGTGTGTGTGGGTGTGTATATTTATATTTATTATATATATATATATATATATATATATATATATATATATATAGTACATGTGTGTATGTAAGATGGAATAATGCACTACCGCATTGATATGATATATTACCTCTCCGATAGGGATTCGAACCCTCACCGCCGGTGCAGGCAATCTGCAAGACGATCACTAACCATTGACACACGACCCACTAAACTTCACTATCCTTACTCATGTATGAGTAGACAGGTAATGTCTATGGAAGCGAGGTACCTCCAAGTTCCACATTCCTTTTAGTGGTCGTGTATCAGTGGTTCGCGTGACTGTCTTGCAGATTACCTGCAACGGTGGTGAGGGTTCGAAATCCCTATCGGAGAGGTAATATATTCATGTGTGTGTATGTACACACACACACACACACACACACACACACACACACACACACACACACACCACACACACACACACACACACACACACACACACACACACACACACACACACACACACACACACACACACACCACACACAACACACACACACACACACACACACACACACACACATGTATATATATACACATATATATATATATATATATATATATATATATATATATATATATATATATATATATATATATGTATGTATATATATATTTCATATAGTTAGATTTCTGGTCTTGTTTTTTAATTGACCTTTTCTACTCCAGTTCCCACCACGACGTACACAAGCTCTCACTTCACCAACGTCACCACCACGATGATCCCCTACATGGACCGTGAGTAAAAAGCCACCGTCGTTGAGATAAAATGCAGCATGAAATCTCCACATGAAACAAACATGACCTCTTCATCGTCTCATGGCGCATAAAAACCAGTGGAATTCGTTGATGAGTTGGTTTCATTTTGTTTTTTTGCTTTGCTCTTTTTCTTGAATTAGAATGTGTTGACGACAAGGAATACGTGAAGTGTGCCCTGCCGTGCGACAGGGTGTGCATGTACTATAAGCAGATCCTAAGGCAAAGCGGTTTCTGCGAAGTAAGTTGGCAGTGTTGGTTTATTATCGAGAGCTTGATGTCCTCTTTTACTGCGTTTTGTTTCACTTAATTATTTTTTTTATTATACATTTTCGGCTGTTGACTATTGCGAAAGTAAGACCAACATGTGAATATTTTTTTCATTATATATTAAGTTTGATTTTGTCTGTTTCTCTTCTTTTTATGTATTCATTTGTTGTTAACTAATGCTGGAGTGAGAATAACATGTGAAATCATTTCGGATTTTTGAAAAATTATTGAAATAGTTCACGGTATTTACACACACACACACACACGCAATCATCTAACGTCCCCTTGCGTGTGCCTCCAGCTGGACGGCGACTGCGCGCCGGGCTGCCTCGAGGAGGAGCAGACCCTGATGTGTCCTCCGGGATTCTACATGCTCGACACCAACAAGTGCGTGGCTGTGGCAGACTGCAGCTGTCGCTTGGCCAACGGAATGGCTTTGCCGGTGAGTGTGTCTGTCTGTTTGTCTTTTATCTGTTTGTGTTTTTTTCTCTCTCTGTATTTGTTTTTTCCTTTATTTAATCATGTATTTTTTTTTATCTTTATTTTTCTTCCTGCATTTTTCTTCGCATCTTTCTATCTTTCTGTTCTCTCTCTCTCTCTTCTCTCTCTCTCTCTCTCTCTCTCTCTCTCTCTTCTCTCTCTCTCTTCTCTCTCTCTCTCTCTCTCTCTCTCTCTCTCCTCTCTCTCTCTCTCTCTCTCTCTCTCTCTCTCTCTCTCTCTCTCTCTCTCTCTCTCGCTCTCACTCTCTCTCTCTCTCTCTCTCTCTCTCTCTCTCTCTCTCTCTCTCTCTCTCTCTCTCTCTCTCTCTCTCTCTCTCTCTCTCTCTCTCTCTCTCTCTCTCTCTCTCTCTCTCTCTCTCTCTCTCTCTCTCTCTCTCTCTTTCGGCATTTTTTTCTTTTATGTAAATTTAGAAAATAATCAATATTTGTATTTAATTTCTAATTAGGTTTGAATTAAACAACATGGTTTAAGCGTCATGTGATCAATGAGTTACGATGTCACTTGAGAAGAAAGGGACATCCTTGCACACACACTTGCATACGTACATACATACTCATTCACTTATTCATAATATCCATCATTCCATCGATCCCTTCCATCATCCATCGACCCCATCCACCCCATCCATCCATCCATCCATCCACCATCCATCCATCCCATCCATCCATCCATCCATCCATCCACCCACCCACCCACCCACCATTCATCCATCCACCCATCACCCACCCACCCACCATTCACCCACCATCCCATCCATCCATCCATCCATCCCATCTCTCCATCCATCCATCCATCCATCCATCCATCCATCCACCCACCCACCCACCCACCCACCCACCCACCCACCCATTCATCCATCCACTCACTCCCTCAACCACCCACCCATCCATACCCACATACCCATCCATCTGTCCATCCATCCACACCCACATTTTTTCGGGTTTCGCTTGTGCCACCTGGTGAAAGTAATTCCTTTTCAACTGTTATAACTTTATTTATTTATCCGCATCCACACGCACGACAGCTAACCATCCTCTTTCCCATACAGGCTGGCGTGTGGTACGACGTCTCTCCCTGTGAGCGCTGTATGTGTCAAAATAATAATCTGCTGTGTGACCGCGACCCGTCCTGCGTCGAGGTCACTACCGTGGAACCCACGGTGTCCACGTCGAAGGTCGTCACCGCCGAAGTCACGCCCAAACCGGAGATCTCGTTGTAAGTTGTGACGGGAAGTCTGTAAGTTGGGGGGAAAGCTTTGTGAGTTTGTGACGAAACTTTGTAAGCTGTAATGAAATTGAAGAGCTTGTGGGGAAACACACATGTGAGGGTTGGGTTTGATTTAAACGCTTCTTTCTGATGTACAGCTTTCTTAATGGTTTACAGTAAAGTAGAATGTGTTTACCACTACTTGAGATGCCTTAGATACATATTACGTCCCTGGCGCTTTATAGTAATGACTACCACAAAGCTGAGGGCATTTAAAGGAATTGACACCACAAAACTGAGGGTATTTATAGGAATTAGTAGCAAAGAGGTGAAAACATTTACAGTAATGCGTACCACAAAAACTGAAGGCATTTATAGCAATAAGAACCACAAAACTGAGGCCATTTATATTTATAATTACCAAAAGAGAAGACCTTTCGTTCTACGGTGTCATCGTTCCTCCCAACAGCCAATGCAACAACTGGTCGCCTTACTTCAAGAAACACAGGACTAGCGAGGGCGTCATCATCACGCTGGACATGGTGAAGGAAAACATTGAGTTCCCTTGTGAAGTCCCTGTCAACGCCTCGTGTCGGGAAGCGTCGTGTGAGTAGTACTTCAGTATTATTTTTCTTCTTTTTTGGGGGGTTGTCTTCGTTTTAGAGTGTTATGCAGATGTTTGGTCACGTCTTTTGTATTGTCAAGCGATATTAAGGTTCCGTTTTTTCTAGTTTTTTTCTAGTTATATAGATGTTATGTAGTTGTTTGTTCATGGCCTTCGTAATATAAGTTTTTTAAAGACATGTTTTCGTTAAGGAAGTTTTATATCTTTCAGTTATAATTAATCCTCGTTGATTTCAAAGATACATAGGTAACAGATATTACCATTTTTTTATTACTGCACATATAGCAGATATACCTACATATCTTCTCTCTTCCGTTTTGAAACAGCCAAGCTCCACGCTGCCAGTTTAGGCCAGGCTCTGACCTGTGACCCCGTTGACGGCCTGAGATGCATTAACCTCGAGAACGATAAGGACTGCTATGACTACGAGATCTCCTTCTTCTGCGAGTGTGAGGAAGTCAGCACCGTCAGCCCTCCGGAAACTAGTATGTGTTTGTTGTTTCTACTTTTGACAATTTATTTCCTTGTTTTCTTCTGCTGTGGACAGATTTTTTTTTTACTTGTTTTACTCCACTATGGATAACGAGATTTCGGTTTTGCTTATTCTTCTGTGGATTTTGATCATGTTATTATGATTATCCTTATTTTACGGCGGATAACGGTCTTTTATCATATTTCGCTCCTATTGCTCTCTTCGGCTATATATTGATATAACACATTGTGTAAAAAAGAAAGAAATATCTCAAACGTTTTCTCTTCGCGGTAGATACCTAAACAGACATGTCAACATGAGTACGGTTCAATAGCCCATACATTGCCTTGTATCTCCACGCAGCTCTCGGCCCCGTGGTGACCCTGGCTCCCTGCGACGCCTGGTCCCCCTGGATCAACGAGTTCAAGCCATGGCAAGGGGACTTAGAGGCCGAGTACAAGTCGCTTCAGCAACTGCAGGACAAGTATGGATTCTGTTTGGAGGTGAGGGTCTCTGAGAGGACATGCTGAGGTCGTTGTAGCAGTGTGTACTTTCTGTGTGTGTTATTATTGTTATTAATGTTAATTTCGTGGGTTCTTTAGGGTCTGTGGGATTTTTCATGAGGTTTCCGGGATCAAGTAATACATTTTATACCGTATTAAACAATATCACAATGGCTGTCCCAATATCATCAGATAACACCTAAAAGGGCCCACCAAATGAAAGACAAAAAAATCCATGACCAAGGACCTTAAAAAATCAGTTACTGACGACGACCGCCTTTCTCCTTCAGGGCCAGCTGGCGGACATCGAGTGCGTAGAAGCGGCCACGGGGCAGAGTGTGGCAGCAGACAGGGGCACCAGCTGCGACGTACGATATGGCTTCAGCTGCAAGAACTCCGACCAGGACCGCGGCCGTTGCCTCGACTACAAGATCCGATACTACTGTACTTGCGGTCAGTCGATATTTCTTGGTTAAAAAACAACAGGGTCAGTGCAATATTAGACATTTGCAGTAATACGACTTATAATGACCACCTTTCGTAATCCTAGCCCATACAGAGATAACGTGAAAACCTCTTTACAGAGACCACAACCGTAATAACGACCACCTTTGTGCCGCCGTTCGCCACTCCTCCCACCGTGTGTGACCCGGACAAGTGAGTTCATTACGGGTTTAGCAAACGTCTCTGCTGTTGGTATATGTAAATGCAAATGAACGGTGGTTGCTGGTCAAAATGCAACGAGATCTCATGCGTATAGCAGTGTAGATTGACAAGTTCCATTGGATATGTACTGGTGTGTGTATACATTGCTCAGTGAAAGAGGAGGAAGAGAGAGAGAGAACAAGAAAATATATAAAACATCAGGCGTGTGTGTGCGTGAGAGAGAGAGAGAGAGAGAACGAAGCTTTTTTAGTTGGCAAGAGAATGAAAGCGAATGAGAGAAAGAAATATAGAAACCCTCCCCACTGAGAGCAAGAACCCACAGCCGCACAAAAGTAAACAATCGTCAGCCTAAGACCCGATTCCATCCACCTCCCTTCAGGTACATCCACTTGCTGAAGAATGTGGACGACAGCGCCTTCTCCTCCACCCGCGCCCGCAACTCCTTCTTCGGTCCAGCGAACGCCCGCCTCTACAACGACGACGGTTCCCTGAACAGTAAGTCCCTTGGGTGTCTGGCCATTCTTAGCATGGCTATTATGTTTGCCTAGTTTTTTTTTTCTAGATGTTGTTTTAATATATCTTGTCTAGTTAGTTTGAATCTCGCATGTATGTTTTTTTTTCTCTCGACATTTTTTACTCAACAATAGTAGTTTATGTAACCTTTCTGTCCCATTTAGAGCAAATAATCTGTTTCAGTCTTAAATCTGCCCCCATTTCCTGTACCCTTTTAGACCAAATAAACTGTTTAAAATCTGAATCTTAAACCTCCTGCTTTCCAACAGCCAAGAGTTGGAGTCCATACATCAACGACCAGAACCAGTACGTGCAAATCGACCTGGGTTCAGTGCAGCCTCTTTACGGGCTGGAGATGGGCGGAAACCCCACCACGAGGGAAAGGGTCACCGCCTTCCGAGTGCAGGTTTCCGATGACGGGTCAACTTGGAGTTACGTGACTTCTGACCCCGATGACCCCAAGAGTTCACCCAAGGTCGGTCTTTTTTATCTTCTGGGAAATGAGTTGAGACGAAGGTGTTTGGTAGAGTAATGGATTTAAATAATGGATATAAAATGAGTCGATCCATTTTATATCCAACGAACCAAAACGATATTATATCCGGACGTCCCTCCACAGGATTTCCGAGGCCCAGTTAGTGCAACTCAATTCTATCTATTTCTATCCAAATCATATCTTAATTACCTGTCCTAATAATGAATTATCATAATTTTCTTCTTTTTCTTCTTATATTTCTTCTTTTCAAATCCTTCACCAAAAACACAGACCAAAGTAATATTTTAACCATTGACTTTCTAAATTATATCCCAATTATCTATCCTAATAACGAACTATCTTCTTCTTCTTCTATTTGTACTCCTCAAATCCTTCATCTAACGATATACCCAGACGTCCCTCCAACAGGGTTTCCGAGGCCCAGTCAGTCTAATTCAGTGTCCAGATCATATCCCAATTATATATCCTTATAACGGACTTCCTTCTTCTTCTTGTTCTATTTCTTCTCGAACCCTCCATCGAAAACCACAAACCAAAACGCTCTTATAACCAGACGTCCCTCCTTAGGCTTTCCGAGGCCCGGTCAGTCCCTCGGCGCCGCAGAAACAGCTGTTCGACAAACCGATCGAAGCTCGCTACGTAAGGGTCAACCCGACCGTATGGGTGCGCTCGATCTCCATGAGGGTCGAGGTCATTGGGTGCGAACTCCCGACGCCTGTGACCTTCTACACTACGCCCAGTGAGTAGCGAGTGGGCGTTTTTTTTTTTTTCGTTTTTTTTTTTTTTTTTTTGGGGGGGGGGTATATGTGTTTTTATGTTTTTCTTTCTTTGTTTTTTCTCCCTATTTCTTTATCTCTTTTTAGAAGGGTTCTGGTTTGTCTTCTCTCTCTCTCTCTCTATCTATCTGTCTATCTTTCTCTCTCTCCTCTGATGTTTACTAGTTATTATTTTAGATGTTTTGACATTTTGTTTGTTCAGATATAAATTTCAAATGTTTCTAAGTGTTTTGTGGATCTTTTTTCAAACTTTCTATAATTCTTATTGATTTAGCATATGAAGTAATATGAACTTCCATAGTTGTAATTATCCTCCTCGATATATATAATAAACATCAACAAATCTTATATATCAGAGTATATAAAAGAATCCCCTATTCGCCTGTCTTCTTCTTTTCTTTATTCTCACACTTGTTTCTTTTTCTTTTCTTGATTCTTTCACACAAAACAAAACATCACCAAAATGCGCATAGAAATTTTACCTTCTCATTCCTCCTTTGGTTTATTCGCTTTCCTTTATCCTTTCCTTTATTTCGCAGCAGACCTTAATTTCATCTCATTTCTATCCAAATTATTCCCCATTTATCCCTTTTAATACCAGATCATCTTCATCTTTTGTTCTTCTCAAATCCTTACTCAAAATCCATGATACACACATGTTTCGTACAAAAGAAAACGTCATCAAAATGCGCATGGACATTTTCCCTTCCCATTGCCCCCGCCTTTGGTTTATTCCTTCTCCATCCACCCACTCCTTCGCAGGGACGCCGGAGTGCGAGGAGCCCATGGGCGTCGAGAACGGAGAACTGTCGCTCCTGCAGATCACGGTCTCCTCGGTTCTCAACGACGACGAGCTGTACTACGGCAAGAAAAACATTCGTCTCGACTCTAAGCCCGAGTTCTATACCGCTGCCGGAGCTTGGGTCGCGGAGCCGAAGCCCGAGCAGTTTGTCAGGGTGAGTCTTCCCCTTAAATAGGTGTTTGTATTTATGATGTATTTTTATTTCTGTTTACATTTTTTTTTTTTTTTTTTTTTTTTTGGGGGGGCGACTTTTTGCATGGTGTTTTGTGTTAATGTTATTTGATGAAGAAGGAATTTGTAATGGTGTTTTTGAGATGTGATACTACCTATATTTTCCCCCGTAGAAGTACATAGCTTGGAAGAAATCTAGCTATCTATCTATCTGTTTACCACTATCTTACCATCTATCGAGGAGCGCCCCAACTCAGAAAAAAGTTCACACAGAAGTTCGCGTTAACATGTAACTTCTCCCCCGCAGTTTGACTTCCTGGAGCCGAGCAAGATCTCGGGTATCATTACACAAGGACGCTCGGACGCGGATGAGTGGGTGGAATCCTTCACAGTTCGATACTCGCAGGACGGCAAGAGTTGGAGCACGCTGCAGGAGCCCGATGGGTCGGAGAAGGTGAGGGAATGCGCGCGCGCTTGTGTGTGTGTGTGTGTCTTTGTGTGTCTTTGCGTTTGTGTGTGTGTGTGTGTCTTTGTGTTTGTGTGTGTGCTGTTTAAGACGTCAAGAATTATATACAGAAATGCATTTTTTTTTTTGCTATAGTTGTGAAAAAAATCGAAAAAGATCTTATTCACTTTAACGCCCCTTTCTCCCTCCACACAACAGGTATTCCCAGGTAACTTCGACCGAAATACACCAGTCGAGACCAAGTTCGACCAGCTGATTCAGGCCCGGTACCTGGAAGTCAGACCTGAGACCTGGAATTCGAACATCGCCATGAGATTGGATGTCCTTGGTTGCTTCCACCCGTATCGTAAGTGTGACTTGGCCAGAAATTTAGTTGAATTGTATGTATGTGATATACAAAAATATGGGCTCTACTTCAATATTTTGACTAAAATCAAGGAATATGATGTCCTCTTCACCTGCTTAGAAACCAATTTCTCTTAAAAAGACAACAATAATTACAATAAAAAACTGAGAAACCCTTCCCCCCCCCAAAAAAAAAACACCACCAACAACAATAATGAAAATACCTAGAAACCACTCAAAAAATAATAACCAAAACATTTCATAGACCAACGTAAACACTCCAACTCACAATGGTAAAAAAATAGAAAAAGAAGCACAACAATGATAATGAAAAATAACTCCCCCCCCCAAAGAAAAGATAAGTAATAATGATAACAAATACAATAGTAACAAAAAACTACCAGCACCACCGTAAACAGCCCACTCTCTTTAACTGCCAAACCTTCAGCCGAAATCACAACGACGCCGCAGCCGGAGGTGACGACGACCCTCCCGCCGCCTCCTGAGTGCACGCCCTGCCCTGGCCTTCCGGAGGAGTTCTACGACCGCTGCGCCTCCTGTTCCTCCGGCAGGTTCTTCGACGGGAAGTCTTGTGTTCCGAAGGCCGTCTGCCCTTGCTACAAGGATGGTAACAGGTGAGGAGGACTTGTGTCGATCGAGTGTTTGAATCTTACTAATATTATTCGCGTATCGACGGATTTGTTTCGAAGGAATATTGGAATGCTAGTTTTGGAATCTTAGTAATGTTCTTCCTGTATCGAATGCTGTCCACGATTTGTATCGATTGAATATTGGAATCATAGTAATATTATTCCTGTATCGAATGTTGTTTCCGATTGTTTCAAACGAATATTGGAGTCTTAGTAATAGTTTCCCGTATCTAATTTTGTTTAGGATTTGTTTCGAGTGAATATCGTATTGTAAAAGTAGCCTATTCTTGTAATCTGTTTTTCAATAATTTTCTTTCCTGATTGCATATAAATATGATATAAATTCACAAACGCAAATGCAGTTTTGATCCATTTCGGTTGCCTGTTCATCTGATGAGGAACACTAGACGGTTTCGAAACGTCACGATCCAACTTCATTTCTTATAATGGCGGTTTTCTTTTTTCTTTGTCCACTAACTACTAAAACTAAGATTTGTATCTATCTGTCCATCATGTTCTATCTACTAAATACTAAAACAATATTTATCGTTGCAGCTACGACATCGGCTCCGTCTTCGTGACGTCAGAGTGCGAGGAGTGCGACTGTCTGTTCGGCGGCGTGTCCAAGTGCAAGGAGAAGACTTGCTCTCCGTGCAATGAGGTGCGTGCAGCCTTTCCTTTTTACAACCGTAATTATCTGGGTCATTCTTTTTGCAACATTTCTTTTTTGCAATGTTGATTGTTTGGATCATTTTTGCAACATTTCTTTTTTACAGCGTTAATTATTTGGATCATTCTTTTTTGCAACATTTCTTTTTTTACAGTGTTAATTATTTGGATCATTCTTTTTTGCAACATTTTTTATGTGGCATTTCTCATTTGCGATATTCATGTTTACAATATTCCATTTTTTTGCAACAGTTTATTCTTGCAGCTTTCTTTTTTTGTAACAGTTCACCTCTAGTGGGATAAAACCATTTTTGCTGCAGATTGCTTCCTTCGGGAAGTATTTATCTACTTTCACATAATTCATGTACTTACTTCACTGTTTTACTATAACTTGAATTAACAGGTAGATTAGTTACAATCACTTACTGCTGTATTCCCACTTACATAAGTGAATAGATAAACTCCTTACACCTCTTTCAACTCAACTCTATTTTCATAAATGAATACATAAAGAAACTACTTCAACCCTTTGTTCTACGGCATACAGAGATAAGTCAGTAAACTCCGTCTGCTTCCTATTCCTACTTACGCAGTGATTTAATTAATAACATGTAAGTGACATCTACCTACTACTGTACCCCGTAATAGACTACTTACATCTACCTCCTGCCTAGTATCCTACCTGTTTATTACCTATTCATACGTAAATAAATAAATACCTTGATCTCCCTCCCACCTACCTTATACCGGTTACTCGCCATACTTATATAAACGACTTACATCTTCCTACTGCTCAACCTGTTATCTGCTACTTACAACTTATGAATGCCTCCTGCCGACTACTCTACCTGTTGCCCAGGAATACGTGCACAGTGAAACTACTTACACAAATAAAACTACTTATACCCACCTCCTACACTACACCTACCTACAATCCACTTTCCTACCTGCCAACCTGCTTACCACGCAACACCTTCCACAGTTTACCACTTACCGACTTACTACACACCTTACAAAATATAATCACCGACTTACCTACTTACAACACAACACCTAACATAATGTGAACCACCTACCTGCTTACAACACAACACCCAACATCATGTGTACCACGTACGTACCAATCTACCTACTTACAAGATAAACAACTCTTTCAGAACGAGCAAGGCGTATTGACATCCTCCTGCAACTGCATATGCAAGCCGTGTCCCGAAGGCATGAGACTCTGTCCTTCGATCAACTATTGCCTGAATGAGACCTCTTGGTGCAACGGGGTGGTTGAGTGCCCCGAGGACGAGCTGGACTGCCCTACGACTACGCCAGGTAAATTTGGGGTAGTCCAGGGTGTTTTGGGGTATTTCAGGGTGTGTTTGGGTAGTTTTTAGAGTATTTTAGGGTGTCTCATTGAGTTCCCTTGGTGCAACGGGGTGATTGAGTGCCCCGAAGACGAATATTATTATCATAGATTAATATTATTATTCTCGTTTCTCCAGTCATTCCATCCCCGTGCCCGACGCCGTACTGCCCCGACCACTGGGATCTCACCGTACGCCCGTCAGGAGGTCTGTGCCCCATTGTCAAGTGCGAGCCACCTGCCAAGACCACGCCCATGCCATGCCCGATACCCTTCTGCCCGCCTCTCTATGACATCAGCCTCGTGCCCAGGAAGGTTTGTTCTTGATATTTGTCGTTTGTTTTCTTTTCCCATTTCCTTCATAGCTTCTTTCTCTCTCTTTCTCTCTACCTTCCTTTCCTTTCCCCCCACCCCCCCACCCCTCATTCTCACCCTGTCCCTCCCTCCTCTCCCTCCTCCCCCTTCCACTTTCCCTCTCCCTCCCCTTCCTCCTTTCTCCCCTTCCCCTCACCCTCTCCCTCCCTCCTCCTCTCCCTCCCCTTCCCTCTCCCCCTCTCCCTGTCTCTCTCCCTCATTTTTAACCACTTCCATCCTTCCAGGGAGACGAGATGTGCCCCAAGTATGAGTGCATTCCGCCTTCGACGACCATGGCGCCCCCCGAATGCCCGCCCCTGTTTTGCCCCGACGGCTATGAAGTCCAGACCTCCGAGGACGTCTTCCCGGAGATGCCCTTCGGAGAGTGCCCGGAGTACCAGTGCGTGACCCCCGTGCCCCCCACTGCCCCGTGCCCGCCGCCCACGTGCCCTCAGGGGTATGACATCTTCTTCGCCAATCCGAAGGCTCTGTTGGAATTCTGCCCGCCGGTGAGTTAGTGTTTGTGTTTTATGTGTTTCATGTGTATTTAATTTGATGTCTGTGTAAGTATGATGTGTACCTAATTTGATGTGTATCTATTTTAATATTTGATTAATTTGATATATATTTAATGGAGTGGTTTCGTATCTTTATTTTGGCAAAGGGAACTGTATATCCCAGTTTGTGACTGGTTGATGCCTTGTATAGCTAAGCGGAAAAGATAATCGCCGAAGGGATACGGAAATCCAAGAGCATACAGGTCTTATAAAGGCAAAACATCCTTTCAACTTTCATGTATATGTGTGATTGTGTGCATGTGTATGCGTGCGTGCTCGCGTACGTCTGCGAATGCAAATATGCATACATACTTCCATAATTATACTACCCCCCCCCCCCCCCAGTACGACTGCATGCCGATCGTCACAACCACGATGTGTCCGCCGGTCGAGTGCGGAGAGGGCCTGCGCACCATGTATATCCACACGGCAGAGGGATCCGCGTGTCCGCAGTACACGTGTGTCCAGGTCACTACGCCCGTGGCCATCACAACGGAGCCTCCTGTTACATGTCCTCCGGTTCGTACATTTTTTTTTTTTTTTTTTTTTTAATTTTTTATTTTTTTTTTATCTATTTTTTTTTTTTTTTTTTTTATGTTCTGACTCTGTTACGGTATCCTTGTCTGTTTCGTTTTGTTTTGAAGGAGTGTGGGATAGTTTCGGTTTGCTTGGATGGTGGGTCATGTCGCTGTAAATCAGGATTGTGCTGTAGATTTTTTCTCGATAGAGTAACAGAGTAGATAAGGGTGTTGTCGTAATTTTTTGTTCTCAATGAATGCATAAATCGCAATAGATCAGGGTAGTGCAGTATATTTTCCAAGTGAATTAAGAGAACGCGATAAATCAGGGTTGCATTGTAGTTTTCTCTTTTCGATAAATGAATAAATCCATAAATATGGGTTATGCAGTAACTTTCTTCAGTGTATAATTGAATCTCAATAAATCAGGGTTGCGTTGTAGTTATTTTTTCTTTCTCAATACTAGAATAAATCTACAATCAAAAGATTTGCAGTAACTTTTCTCAATGTATAAACGAATCTCAATAATTGAGGGTTATGTAAAAGCCTTTTTATTTTTGTTTCGCAGATGGAGTACCCGATTTGCAAGGTGGACGAAGAGCCGTACCAGGTCAACCCCAGTGAACTGTGTCCGCGCTTCGGCTGCAGTAAGTGATCAGCAATTGTCCATGGGCGTGTAGGTGTACTTAGATAATCACAAAAGATATTGCATATCCCACACTTTAGAAAAAAAAGATGTTTTAGTGACAGAATCGAGAAGGCTGATACTCGCATAAACCCAGGACAATAAATAACTGTCTTTTAGTAAGTTCGTTTCGTTTCCAGTAGATATTTCTAATCATAACTGGATCAAATACTTGTTTGTTTGTTTTTCTTTATTCGTTCACTTCTTCTTCGTCTTCTTTCTTTTTAATTGGAATCCGTGAACGAGCATAATATTTCTCATCACTTGAAATACTTTATTTCTTCTTCCCCTTTTTCTTATTCTTTTTCTTCCTCTTCCCTTTCTTCTTTTTTCTTCTTTGCCCTTTGTAAATGGAATCCTTGGACGAGCATATTCGTATCCCATACAGCTATTTTTTTCATCACATCGGGATCAAATAATTCCTTCTTTCTATCCCTCTACTTCTTCTCGTCTTATTATTTCCTCCTTTCTTCCTTTCATTTCAGTCAGAAAGAGCACTTAGAATTGACGCCTTCTTCCTCTTCCTCTTCGTCCTCCTCCTCCTCCTCTTCGTCTTCTTTACTTCTTCCTTTCTTCTCTTATTTTTTCCTTTTCACTCTGAATCAATAATCGATCCCCCCAACAGAGCTTTTCGGAATGACTTATTTTTGTCCTTTATTTTTTCTTCTTCTCCTTCTTCTTTTTCCTCCTCTTCTTCGTCTTCTTCTTCTTCTTCTTTTTACTCTTCTTCTTCTCCCTCTTCTTCCTCTTCCTCTTCTTTATTTCTTCCTTTTCAATCGGAATCCATAATCGATTACCCCCCCCCCCCACAGAGCCCTTCGGAATGACGCCCACGCCCCCCCGAGGCGCGAGGAACATCACGCCCACCTGCGGCGTCGAGGGGCGGACGTTCGACTCCTTCGACGACTCGCACTACCAGATCGAACCCTGCAACCACATCCTGGCCGAGGATAAGATCAACAAGGATTGGGTGATCTCAAGTAAGCCGAAGTCGTGGGTCGGGGGTTGGGACGAGTTCGCTCGGGTTTGAGGGATTTTTTTGTGTGCGTGTCAGCGTTAGAGATAACTTTGGTTATTGTGTGTGTGTTAAATATGCTTTTTTATGTATTGTTTTTCTTTGTATTTGATTTTGGTTGTGTTCATTTTTTTTTCTTATTTGTTTTGCGTCATTTTTTTGGGGGGTTGAGATATTTTGTTATTTGTTTTGTGCGTTTCAGGTATTTAAGGTTTATTTTGGCTGCGGTTTTTGATTGAGGCGATGAATGAATTTGATCAAAGGTTGTGTGTGTTTTATTTATTTAAGTATATTTATTTATACAAAGATACACGAACTTCGAAGGTTATTTACAACATGTCTCTTTATTTTTCTCTCTCTCTTTTTCCTCCTTAATTGCAGTGCACCGCAACTGTTCCTTCAGTGATAGCTGTGATCGTTACCTCAATATAACGCAGAATGACCAGCAACTCATCCTCAAGCCTGACCTTCTCATTGTGTGGGACGAGAACTCTTACACCGTTTCACAGGTAACATTTCTCAAGCGGTTTGTGTGTGTTTTAAAGATGGGTGTGGAAAGTGTGTGAAGGTATTATGTGCAGGATTTGAGAGAGAGAGAGAGAGAGAGAGAGAGAGAGAGAGAGAGAGAGTGAGTGAGAGTGAGAGTTAGAATTAGAGTGAGAGTGAGAGTGAGAGTGAGAGTGAGAGTGAGAGAGAGGAGAGAGAGAGAGAGAGAGAGAGAGAGAGAGAGAGAGAGAGAGAGAGAGAGAGAGAGAGAGACATACAGACAGACAGATTGGTAGACTGAATAAATAACTGAGTGAGTCACTCAGTAAATGAGTGAACAGGTAAATGAAAAGAACACAGATAAAAAGGCCCTACTTCTTACCCCCCCCTCATTCCAGGCCCAGAGAATAGGCTCCTCGCAGAACAAAAGGAGTTCCGTTGTTATAAAACGCAGAACACCTTCGCCGTGTCTCGTGTGGGTGATTCCATTCGCTTCAGTTCTTCCGTTTACAAATTCAACGTCGCGTGGAACACTGAAATGAACGTCAAGATTGAGGTAAACTTTTTTCTTTCTTTCTTTCTTTTTTTCATTTTCTTTACGAACGGGTTGAGTTAGATTTTATTTATATATGTGGTCTTTTTGTTATCCAATATATATTTCAGTTTATTTTGTAGTTTTGTGGCTTTGTAGCTAACATTAAGATGGGAGTTGACACGTTCACAATCACACACACTCACAAACTAAGTCTTATTCACAGTCTATTCGCACACACCACACAATTCCACACAACCGCATACAAGCACACACAACCACACAATCCCACACAACCGCACTCAATTACACACAACCACATAATCCCACGCACTCGACTAAGTCCCTTCCGCCCTTCAGCTGGACGCAGAGCTTTTGAACAGAGTGGACGGTCTGTGCGGCTTCTACACAGGCTACGGCCACGACGACAAGACCAAGCCCGACGGCAAGCTGGCAGCGACTATGAAGGACTACGGCCAGTCGTGGGCCCTGGACGACCAGCCCTGCGAGGAGAAGCCCAAGTGCACCGTCGCGCAGTCCGCCGAGTCCTTCAGTCTTTGCGAGGCCATTCGGTGAGTCCTGGGAGGAGATTCTTTTGTGGCTTGGCTGGTTTGGTTTTCTTTGGTTTTCTTTGGATGGTTTCCGACATGTGAAGGAATTGTCTTTTCGCATCGGATGAATGGCCCGCGCCCCTTGCCTTTCCTCCTCGCATATTCAACGATTTATCAGTTTATTCTCCGACGTCACGTGACTTTTTTATTCTCGCTTTCTCCTCTTCTCTTCACAGAAACGACCCCTTCACCAAGTGCCATTCGTCAGTGGATCCTTCCGTCTTCATGAAGGGCTGCGTGGCCAGCACCTGCGACTGCCTGAGGGAGGGCAAGGACGAGGAAGAGTGCCGGTGCCAAGCCCTTACCCACTACGTGACTCGCTGCCTCGAGATGGACTCCACTATCAAGCTGGACGACTGGCGAATCGTCTCCAAGTGCTGTGAGTTGTGGGCTGTTCTCACCCGTCGGGAGGTAGATTGGTTCGTCATGGAAACTATTGAAATTTGATGTTCTTTTATGGAAAGCCTTAAAAAGGCGTAAACAAGTTCAGTAGATTGAATTTACAAACATATTTCTAGCTTTCACATGTCTTTCTGCCGTTTTTTGCAGAGCGAAATTGGAATGATTTCTATACGCTTTCTTGCAGACAAGGAGTGCGGACCGGGCGAGAGGTACCAGGATTGCTTCCGCGCAACCTGCGAGAAGTCCTGCGAGAACCTGCACGACGACACTGCTTGCATGGAGCGCGAGGGGGCGTGCGTGCCCGGGTGCTTCTGTTCGCCTGGCCTCGTCCGCAAGGGAGACCGCTGCGTGAACCCCGAGAAATGTGGAGACTGCGTATGCGAGGGCTACGGTGACCCGCACTACCAGACCTTCGATCGCCAGAACTACACCTTCAACGGCGAGTGTTCGTACGTGGCCGCGCGAGACAAGAACGTCCGCGGCCAGCATGCCTTCCAGGTAAGGGGGACCTGGATCGGTTGAGGAAAATGTCTCCCTGTACAGTGCATAAGAAGGGGGACTGTATCGTAATTAATTTCACGACCTGGGAGAATATTTCTCGTAAGAACATATTCCTCCGTGGTTTACGTAAGGAGAGGGATTATATTTGCAGCAAATAACAAATAATTTCGCCTTAACACGCTCACAAAAAAGGAATTCGCACACCGACCACATATAATACAGAATCATTACACACAAAACATAAAGTGATCCCAACATAAAGTTCTTTACCCCATGTCCTAGGTGATCACCCGAAACAAGCAGTGCACAGTGCAGCCAGTGACCGTGTGCACCGACGCCGTCACAGTGCTCTACAAGGACCACACAGTTTTCATAGAAGCCCTGGGAGAATCCGCCGTGAGTGTGACAGTGGATGGCGAAAGCATCCCTGCATTCCCCTACCGAGACTCCTGGCTTGCTCTGGAACAGCCCGACCCCATGCAGGTGAGGCAGCGGAGGAGTCGTGTTGAACTAACTGTAAACAAAACGACGAAGGGAAGAAGAAGAAAACGCACAAATGTAGTATATTCGTGTGTTTTCTTGTTCTTCCCCCTCGTTTGTTACACTTATAAGGCAGTGTTCAGATATTTTTTCGCTTTTCTTTATTATTATTATTATTGCTGGTTCTTTTTCGTTTATTCCTATCCGCATTCTGTCCTGTTGAGTTTTGTTTTATGTACAATATTATTTGTTTTGTTTTTCTTCCCATGACAAATTTATGCTAAAGTACGCAGGTATATATATATATATATATATATATATATATATATATATATATATATATATATATATATATATATATATATATATATGATTTTTTAAAGAAACAAGGTCATATTTATAGTCTTTTTCTTCATCTCTAGGTCATGGCAGCTATCTCGGAGATTCAGCTGGAGGTCAACTTCTTCTTGGAAAACTATGGCTTCTCGGTCAAGGTGCCGTCAAGACTCTACTTCAATAAGACTGAGGGACTTTGCGGTGAGTCTTTGGTTACTATGTTTGTCTTCTGTCTACATGTCCTGTCTCATGCGTTGGTAAATTCTCGAACACTTTTCATTTGTTTATTTTTTTATGTGGCTTTATCTTGATTCCTCTCTCCCTTCTGTCCTGGTCTCTCTCTCCTCTTTCCTGCTCTCCATCTCACTCTTCCCCTTCCTCTCCCTCTCCCCTGTCCTCTTCATCTCCCTCTCACTCCCTCTCTCCCCTCTCCCCCTCTCCTCCCCCTCTCCTCCCCTCTCCCCTCCCCCTCTCTTCCCCTCATCCTTTCCTACAAATAGCTCCTAAATCTGGAAAATCACACACTAACCACCATTCAATCTCCCAGGTAACTGCAACTTCAAGACCGATGACGACTTCGTAGCGCAAGGGACGGGTCTGATCGAGTCCTCAGACGTTTTCGGAAGGAGTTGGTTGCTCGAGGGCGAACCGTCGACCTGCGGCGTCCTGGAGAAGGACACGACCAGCTGTATCCCGCTGCCTCCCGACGAGGACCCGTGCCTTCGCATCATGGACGAAAATCTCTTCGGAAAGGTGTGTCTGATCTTAGGTGTTTTAGTATTGTTATTATGGTTTGTATCCTTGTATCTTGTCATCTCGATTAGAAATTATCTTTTTTTTTTTACTTGCTTAGTTCAATTTCTTGTGTAATTTCATAGTTGTGATCTTCATAATCCTATCATGACTTGCACCCAGCCCATATCATAGTAATTTATCACGCGAACAAATTTTATTCTTCAGTCTCCCACCTACCCAAATCCATTTTCTTTTTTACATCCACTTTCTTTGAGTAAAAAATTACACCCATAACTCGCGTAAATATGTTCACGTATCCAATACATTTCAGTGCCATCCTGTTGAAGATCCAGTACCTTATGTCTCGTCCTGTATAATGGATGCCTGCGGAAGCCGAGAGCCTGAGGTGGCAGCGTGTCACAGCCTGGAGGCCTATGCTAGGCGCTGCGCCGAGCTCGACATCTGCCTCAACTGGCGCTCGGATGACCTGTGCCCGAAGACGTGCCCGGACAGTAAGAGCCTGTGCCTTGTAACCGTGTTTTAAGAATGTCAATAATAATGGAAGAAGTATATTTATACCAATATTAACAAGACATTGAAAAGGAAAGAACCACTAAAAGAAATGAAATTGAATCGTGGCATTTCGAACATCAGAAAAAACTAATAACCGAAATGGATACACAAATAGAATCCTTAATTGTAGCTATTTCCTTTTCAATACTACAACGGAAAAAGTTATGGCCGTAATGATGATACCTGTAATAAATCATCATTTTCCTTGAAAAAAATCAGCGGATCATAGAGTAATAAATGCATAAACGAAAGCTTCAGATCCTCTAAGAACATTTAACGACACATCACTCAAATCCTTTGCAGCCCTCGAGTTCAGACCATGTGGACCTGGCTGCGTTCGAACGTGTGAGAATTACGAAGAACTGAAGGCAAATCCAGACGCGTGTCCGATTTCTTCCGTGGATGGTTGCTTCTGTCCGGATGGCATGGTGAGGTTTTTGGTTTTTTTTCTTTCTTTCTTTCTTTTATGTTGATATTTCTGGTTGTCATTCTTGGATTCAAGGATAGTTATTGATCGGTGACGGATATTACCCTGCGATATTCTCCATGATTTTGGTTATATTGGCGAAGAAAATACGAGACGAAATCTAGACGGAAATTCGCTTTTTTCTGTTTTTCTTGAAGGAAAGCAGGATTTATGGACGGATTTCACTCTTTCCTTGCGTCTCTCCTTGATTTAATGCAGGATTTATGAACGACATTAAGTCTTTTCTTATTTTCCCCTCAAGGAATTAGTTTTATTTTATTTCTTATCCTTTTCCCCCCGATTGCATCCAGGTATTAGATAACGGTACCTGCATTAACGAGACCTTCTGCACCACCTGTGACAACGAAGGGCATCGCATCGGAGACTCGTGGAAGACGGGTCCTTGCACCACCTGCGAGTGTACGATGCGGGGTAACGTGTGCAGTACCAAGACTTGTCCTGACGACCCCATCTGCGACGAGGGATATGAAGTCGTTGAGGTGAGGTCGCTGTTCGTTCGTTGAGGTTGTCGTTTTCGTGTATTTTTTATTGTTCGGTTTTATTTTGTTTGGCTTGTTGGGGTTGAATGATGTGCTTTTCTGTGATTCTTTGTGATCTTATTTTTCCTTTTTTTTCTCTCACGCTCTTTTTTCTTCTTCTTCTTTCCTTCAGCTATCTCCTCCAAAAGTTCTTAAAATCATTGACGATATCGATTATTATAATGGTTAACACTAGCTTTAATAATAACACCTCGGTCCACCTTCTTCAGGTACCCGGCACCGGAGACGACTGCTGCGGCCCCAGGAAGAAGTGCAAGGTCGTCCCGACGGAGGACTGCCCGCCCGTCGTGATGCCCAAGGAGCAGTGCGGGTACGGCCAGAAGCACAAGCTGATCGAGGCCCCAGGCGTATGTCCTCAGTACGCCTGCGTGTGCGTGGATCCCAAAGACTGCCCTGATATCGAGCTGCCCGACGACAACGACCTCAAGCCAGGTTTGGAAAGGATTGAGTCTGTGGTGTTGGGTGACGGGTTTGTGGACGCATTGCCCGTCGCTTGGTCGTATATTGATTTGAAATCCGTCTTTCGTAGTTTGATTATTTTCTCACGGGAAATGTTGGTCTGGTGGCAGGTGAGGAATGGATTTTGGACGATAGTGGGTGTTGTCCGAGATACAAGGCCGAGTGCACGGACTTCTGCCCGGAGATAGAATGCCCTGAGTTCTACGAACCTGTCAAAAAGTCCCTTCAGTCGGGCCAGTGCTGTCCCGATGTGGAGTGTGGTAAGTGCCGCAAGGATACATTAATATTCAACTTAAGATATGCCTCTTTAACCTGTTTGCGTGCGTGTATGTGTCTTTACTATCACATAATATATTCTACAGAGCCACCGACCGACGCCTGCATCTACGAGAACATTTACATCGTGGACGCCACTGGTTTCCAGAAGAGCGTGGCACAGCCGAGCGCCACGAAGAAGGGAGGCGCACCTCAGCTCCCTGAGCCAGAGAAGAAACTGTACAAGGTGATTCATACAGATTAATTAGTGCGGATGAGCGTATCGAGACAGTTTATTCCCCTCAATTCCATTTTTACAATCCGTATTGGTAGTCTATAGTTTTTTTTAAACACATCGTCTCTACTATAGACTTAGACCTTGAGCTTCCTAAAGAGATGTCCACATCGGCATATATATTTAGGATGGCGGTCTGCAACAGCGTCCTTAACCCCAATCAATATGCAATCACAGGTGGGAGAGAGCTGGGAAGATGGCCTGTGTCTCAAGTGCCAGTGTACGCTGGACAGCACCAACAAGCCCCGCCACACTTGCACAGAGCAGACTTGTCCCACGCTAGACACGCACCCCGACCGCGGACAATTCCAACTGGACAGCCTGCAAGTACCCGGCCAGTGTTGTCCTGACATCGTGCGGACAGCGTGTATCGACGACTATGAGGTTATCGATGTAAGTTGTCTGAGTCGATCTCGTACCGACCTTTCGGTGAGAAGTCTTTTTTAATGTAAAACCTTGCGGTATTTGTCTTTTCAGATCCATTATTTGAACCGTAGGAATACGCACACATGAAAAAATATGTGTTTATCTACATACACAGACAAACAGATATCGCTTTGTGATAAACCATATGGGTTGATTGACAAAGATTGCGTTCCTCAGATCGGCGACCGGCTGGACGATCCATTCAACGGCTGTCGCAGCGTGGAGTGCGTGAGGAACACCGAAGGCAAAGTGGATAAAGTGGAGCAGATCCACACCTGCGACGAGAATTGTCCACTCGGCTGGGAATACGAGCCGTCGCCTCTGTACCCGCAAGTGTGCTGCGGCGAGTGCGTGCAGGTGGGTCAAGGGAGCTGGAGCAACTGTGGTTGTTATTGCTAATCGTTACTAATTATGGTTATTATTATTGATTATGATTAATCGTGGTAATTATTACTATTTATTATTTATTGTGGTTATCCTTGTTATTGACTAATATTAATTGTGGTTATTATTATTACTGATCATTGATTGTGGTTCTTGCTATCACTAATCGTTATCAATTGTATTTATTATTATTATTATTGATTATTATTAATTGCGATTATTATTATTATTGATTATTATTGATTGTGGGTATTATTATTATTATTATTAATTGCGGTTATTATCATTACTTAATTATAGTGCTTTTATTGTGATTATTGTTAAAGGGATGTGGATGTGCACAAGGAGAACACTCAGAAATTCATTGCGAAAAACATACATAATTTTGTATTCGAATACTTCTAAATAAGAAACGAGACATGGTTTGTTCAGCATGCAGGGAAGATTTTCACGCCATTACTATGCGTAAATCACATTTTTTTTTTTCTCACGTCATTACAGCATGTAAATTTCCTTGTAAATTACCATTTTCTCATGTCATTACGTTTATTTTTATTAATATTAATAGTTATTTTTATTTATTATTTATTATTACATATTTTTATTATTATTATTATTATTATTATTATTACATTTATTATTACATTTATTTGTTATTTTTCTCACATATTTACAATTTATACATCACCCTGATCTTTATTTTTCTTCTTTTTCTCTTCGTCTCCCCAGGTGGCGTGTGTCGTGGACGGCGAGGTGAAAGACGTCGGTGAGACTTGGGTGTCCGACGACCTCTGCACCACCTTCACCTGCTCCAAGGACAGTGGCGTAAGTTGCTGCTGCTGTTGATGTTGTGGTTCGTTTGCAGCTGCATAGAGAGTGGCGTCTGTCTGATTGTTTGTTTTGTTTTACAATTGTAGATACTGTATTGAAAGACGAAATGATATTGAAAATAATAACGATGATCATATTGAAATCCTTTGCTAATTGGATTGGGGTGAGCTGAATTCATCTGGACTGTTTTGAAATGAATTTAAACTAGTTTGGGCTGTTTTGGTTTTGGAATGAACTGGTGTACTCTTTTGAGCTGAATAGATCTTAACTGTTTTGAACGAAAGTGATCTGAACACAGTTACCTAGACTGTTTTGAAGTTTACTGAAGGACGGAACTAAATTAACCAGGACTCTTCAACTGAACTGACCTACTTAATACCCCTTTGAACTAAACTGAACCAAGACTGTTTTGAACTAAATTGAACTAACCGAGACTTTTGAACTAAATTGAACTAACCAAGATTTTTTAACTTGGACTAACCAAGACTTTTGAAATAAATTGGACCAACCAAGACTTTTGAACTAAATTGGACTAACCAAGACTTTTGAACTAAAATGAGCTAACCAAGACTTTTGACTTGGACTAACCAAGACTTTTGAAGTAAATTGGACTAACCAAGACTCTTTTGAACTAAATTGGACTAACCAAGACTCTTTTGAACTAAAATGAGCTAACCAAGACTGAAACTAAATTTGAGCTAGACTCTTTGGACTAAACAACTGACCGTCTCTTTTGACCCCCCGCAGAGGCAGATCCAGATCCAGGCGGTGGAGGCGCAGTGCTGAGCTAACCGAGACTTCGCGACTGAACTGATGGCAGCAGATCCACCGCAGTGCTCGGAGCCGAGCGCGAAGGACCGCGCGTGTTCGAGGAGACCCGCGTCCCCGACCAGTGCTGCGCCGTCTTCACGCGCACCGCCTGCCTCATGGACGGCGCGCCCGTGCAGGTGGGGGGGAGGGCGTTGTGCATTCTTAGGGGTGTGCTTTGTGTGTGTCCATATACGTACACACATATACATATACATATACATGTACATACACATGCACACAAACACACACACACACTCCGCATGCACATAAACATACACATATGTAGATGAATATATAGACACACATACTTACATACACTTGTTCTCAAATACGCTTGTACCCCAAACGTACAAAACATCTAGTCATGGAAATAATTTGCAATAACCCATAAAATCAAGTGTTTCTCATGTGCCTTCCTCTTTCTCCCTCCGCCCACCCCGCCCTTCTGCAGCCCGGCGAGAGTGTCCAGGACCCGCTGGACAACTGCCTGACCGTGACCTGTGACCTGGCCAAGGACGGCAACGTGACCCGGCGGGAGAAGGAGACCACATGCGACACGGAATGCGCCCTCGGACAGACCTTCATCGAGCCGATTGAGGGAAGGTAAATGGAAGGAAGGAAAAAGAGGGAAATGCTTGTTAAATAGAAGGAATGGAAGACATTAAAAGACGATAAACTGAAGGAAAAGAAAGGGAGGGAAATATTTGTTGAATAGAAGGAATGGTAGAAAAGGAAAGACTTGGTAAACTGAAGGAAAAGAAGAAGAGGGAAATATATGTAGAAAGTTGATGATTGATAAATAGAAGGGCGGGAATACTTGATAAATAGAAGGAATGGACGTACCTGATAAGTAGAAAGGGTGGGGATACCTGATAAATAGAAGGGGTGGGAATACTTGATAAATAGAATGAATGGAAGTACCTACCTTCCGAAATTCACTCCCATTCTTACTCGATTCATAGATACCATATTTATACCGGTATTGATTCGGAAATCCTCCTTGCAACAAGATCCGCCTTTTATTCTCCCCGTATTTTCCCCCAATTATCCTGTCAGAACCCCCCCCCCCATATTTCCCGCCTTAATCAGCCCTCTGACTCCCCCTCTCTCCCCTTCAGCAACGACTGCTGCGGCAAGTGTCTGGTCACGCACTGTGTGGACGACGGCATCGCCCACCCAATCGGCGAGCGGTGGGAGAGCGAGAGCGACGTCTGCTACGAGTACAGCTGCGAGACACGGGATGACGTCCTCACCACCGTGGCTATCAAGAAGGACTGCCCTTACTTCGACCCCGAGTGCCCTCCCAACGAGATCTATATGGACGAGAAAGGATGCTGTCAGCTGTGCAACGTGACGCGGCCGGTCAAGAGTGAGTGTGTGCCTTTTTGATGTTCTCTGGCTTCTGGTTTTGTTCTTTCTGTCTGTTCTCTCTCTTCTTTCTGTTTGTTTTCTTATGTTTTTGGGTCGTTTTCTTTTCAAAAGGCTAGAATGGGTGTGTAGTTTTCTGTTTACGTTGTATTGTTATTTCTTTCTCTCCCTCTCTCAGTTCTCAAGTCTTTTCATTTCTTCACTTTTCTTTCTCTTTTTTTCTCTTATCTCCCTCTTTCTCTTTTCTCTCATATCTTTTCTCTTTTTCCCCCAGTTCCAATTTCCTCCACGTCCCTCTCACGCTCGCCCTTTCCCACTGTTCGTCGCTTCATTTTCTCGTCAGCGTCACGAAATACCTCGGCCCAAGACATTTAAGTTCATGGGAAATACTCATACCCTTCCCTTCTTCTCCTTCTCTCCCCCAGGCGATTGCAAGCCGAACCCAATGCCCTTGCCCGACACGGTGGGCATCTTCACGCTGGCGGCCCGGAGTGTGGGCACGTGCAAGAACCCCGACCCCGTACCCGGCTTCAACATATGTTCTGGTCACTGTGATTCGTTCACGACATTTGTTGGTAGGTCCTCTTTTTCGTTTATTCATGTTATTATGTTATTGTTACTGACGTTGCTGTCATTAGTAATATTAGTATTCGTATTACTACAATGACTAGTACAAGTAGGACTACTACTTTGGTACCATTATTACATTTTTGTTTGTAAGATGGTCGGCGATCAAGCACTCATTTGTTTCATTCTTAATGCATGGACAATGCTGTACTGAGACGAAATAACACGACCTTCCGAGAACTCCTCATGAACCTGTCTCTCCCTCTGACCATCCAGCAGGCCGCAGGGCCACGCACGTCCCGACCTGCTACTGCTGCAAGCCGGCCCGCTTCGAGAAGATCCGAGTGGACATGCGCTGTGACACCGGCTACGCCTTCGCCCGCGTCTACGACAACATCGTGGAGTGCGAGTGTCTCCGCTGCGACGACAACACTCCGGACTATATGGGCGACGAGCCCATCCTGGACGACGCGGAATTCTTTGCCATAACGGCGGAACCCATCGACGTCTAGTCCTCCCTCTTTCTCTGTGACATCTCTCGCCTTCTACCTTCACTTTTTGAAGTGGCCCTTTTCATCCTTCCCTTCACCTTCTGCTCTTTCCTTTCTCCCAACTTCGATCTTTATCCTTCTCATTCAACTTTCTTTTCTTCCTTCTCCCATCTTTATCCTTCTTCTTTATCCCGTCTTTCTCCCGTTTCCTTTCTCCTTGTTCCTTCTCCCATCTCTCTCCTTCTTTCTTTCTACCTCTCCTTATCTTTACCCTCCTTACTTTCTCCCTTCTCCCATCTTTATCCTCCATTCCCTTCTCCCGTCCCCCATCTTTATCCTTCTTTCCTTCTCCCTTCCCCCATCTTTATCTTTCTTCCTTCCCCCATCTTTATCCTTCTTCCCTTCTCCCTTCCCCCATCTTTATCCTTCTTCCCTTCTCCCTTCCCCCATCTTTATCTTTCTTCCTTCCCCCATCTTTATCCTTCTTCCCTTCTCCCTTCTCGACTCCCCGCGCAATCACACTGACTTGCTCCCGCCCTCCTCTCGGCGCCGCAATCCCTCTCGGCCGACGCTTCAAAACATTCGCTCAGTCCCGGCGAGGGTATTGTATAAATATAAAAAATATATAATTTAAAGAGAATAGTGTAATGTTAAGAGATCCCCGGCCAGAGTGTGCGTGACAGCCATGAGGAAAAGGCTACAACCCTTTCATGAACCCGTGAGATTCCCCAGATGCCGACCGATCGAATACGACAATAGCGAACATTTTGTAAATATCTACATTTATAATCACGTTTTGCAAGAATTAGATAAAAAAAATATACAAAAAAATGCTTGAGCAGTGAAAAAAGTACAAAAAATATTCCAGCACTGATGAAGTGTTATAACCCTATCAATAAAAGGAACACGTGAGATGCCTGTGATTTTCCCTTTGACAGCGGACCCTTTGTTTACAACTTTTCATTTTATGCTCGTAGCTCGTGATTTCTTACCACCAAGGATCCTGTCTTTAGATTGATATTAATTCATTGTTCATTAATATTGATTCATTATTCATTAAGACTAATCTATTGTTAACGAACAGTAATTCATTTATTGATACTAATTCATTATTTATTAATAATAAGGATTATTCATAAATGATTACTGAATATTCCTTAGTACTGATTGTTTATTTTTTAATACAAATTATATACTTAAATTTTGAATGACAAGACAGCTTTTTCATTAACAGCTCGTTGTTTAGTTTCACCTTAAAAACTATAGGCAATAATAAGCAATTAAGTTAACTGTTTAGTGGAATAATTGATGTTTTATTAACATATATATATATGTATATGTATATATATAATATATATGTATGTGTGTGTGGTGTGTGTGTGTGTGTGTGTGTGTGTGTGTGTGTGTGTGTGTGTGTGTGTGTGTGTGTGTGTGTGTGTGTGTGTGTGTGTGTGTGTGTGTGTGTGTGTGTGTGTGTGTGTGTGTGTACAGTGTGCATGTATGCATGTGCGTATGTACATGCATACATGACGATATGTTTATTGGTATACTGCTATACTTCTGTTTAGATAAACTGTATGGACCATGGTCCACCGATAAACAACCCGATCCATATGTTTCAACCTTCTAGCATAAACATTTTTCCAACAATCGTCAGAGCGGGAAACAGTTACAAGGAATTTGCCATAAAACAAAATACACAAAGTCATTTCTCAAATCATAAAATTCAGTCATCCAAATAAGCCTAAGCATTCAGAAACCAAGTAGATGCCACCTTAAAAGGATATATAGAAATTAATGTACTAGCAACTCTTGACAGAAAAGAAAAACGATTTCAACCACTTGTTTCGTGGTTCACAAGAGGGTGATTTCCAGATTTCATCGAGATGTGTAAGGGGGAAGGTGTTTGTAATGTATTGTAATGTAGATGATTGAAATATCTGTTTGCTAGACGCAATATGGTTGTGAAGTAGTATCCGTCTCTCTCTCTCTCTCTCTCTCTCTCTCTCTCTCTCTCTCTCTCTCTCTCTCTCTCTCTCTCTCTCTCTCTCTCTCTCTCTCTCTCTCTCTCTCTCTCTCTCTCTCTCTCTCTCTCTCTCTCTCCAGAGGGAGGAAGTACACATTTTCTAATCTTTTATTACATGAATTTCATCAGAAGCTTTAATATCCCTTTAAAATACTTTTTGTTTCATTTACTGCTTCTTAGATTTGTCATTATCAAAATTATATCCAATTGAACATAATTATTGGAGTAAACCTGAAAATGGAGAGGGAGGAAAGGGACCTGGGACACTGAGTCACCAATAAACACGTGAACCGCATGAACGATCGACTAGATTACACAGGTGTTGGCGGTCTACAGGTGTTGCTTGTTATAGTCATGGCTCACTTATCCTCGAGGCTCCAGACACTAAACACGAAACGCCTCGCTTGGTATCCGTGTCTGTTTGTTCCTGTTTCATTTACGTCGAAATTGTATCGTGGAAGAGGTTCTTGTATGCAGTGACGCAGGGTGATTTATTTCTGAATAATTAGCTATTTACTGGATTTTTTTTATTATTTGAAAAAGCAAATCCGTTATATGATTCATCTCGAAATCAGACTTGACTTGAGACAGTACTAACCCGTTGCTGCACATTTCCACCGTGTTCAGTTTTAACTAAGGATTTTCTCGTTACCAAGTGAAATTTTGAAATATGGATCTCCTAGAGGACAACGTTCAGTGGCATTCGTCGGAAAGGGTTTATCAGGTATGTATCCTGTGTGTTTTGGATAAAGGGTTCGGGTACATATATAACTTCGATATGTATTGGTGTCTAACGTTCAAATTGACGTCGATCTATCTATCTGACATCTCTGCCTAATGTCTGTTCTTATCTGACATCTATCCATCACTCTGGTAATAATATTTTAACATATGACAATCTGGTATAGTGTCCATTTAGTGTCAGCGCTTCACGCGCTGGGTGATGTGAAGCGATGGTGTGGTAGTCTAGGTGGATGTGCGAAAAAGGGGTCGCCCCCGTTGGCGTTAGGTCAGCGATGATGATGATGAATTTCCCTGGAACCTTTCATGACCTCCCCTGCTATCGGGACCATGTTTGTCGCTAACGGGGGGTTTCCGCCTAATAAAACCTTTATATTTGAATTGTAAACGGCGAGAGGAATTCAACGATACGCGATCCGTATGGCGGACGTATTCCAGAAAGTTACCCTTTCTATCTATCCGAGGTCGAAGTCCTGTTGTCACCAATCTCTAAACAACAGATTCGCGAAATATGAAATACCTATCTAACTTCCGTCGAAAATGAAAATTTTATTTGACATATAAAAAAAAAAAAATGGTTTCAAAAGTCCATGGTTGGGTGGAAGTAGAATTTTACTGATCTGTCTTTCCATTTGCTTCAAAATTATCTGTTTATTAATATATCCATTCATATGTAGACAGATGTCTACACTACGCACAATACATACTGTAAACAGACACGCAAACCTGTGCACTCATGTGTGTGTGTGTGTGCGTGTGTGTGTATATATGTGTATATATATATATGGAGAAAGAAAAATAGAATTATGTATGTCAACCGTAGAACCGCTATGTCAACGTAAGAGGTTAGTAGCAGCGAAGGGCTTTGGCTGGAGCGTTTCCTAGGGAGGCAAATGCACGCCCCAACGAGAGACCCGTGCTCCGGCTGCCAACGGCGGAGCGGTGACGAGCGGACCATTGTCGTCCCTGTCTGTCACTGCCCTGTTCTCGGTCTGCTCTCGTTTCTCATGTTCTGCCCCGCTGGCTGACGAGACGCCTTTTGTGCAGCTATTCCTTGCGAGGGCGTTTACGTGCTTAGGGCGTAGAAGTGTCAAAAGAGAAATTAGAGTGAACACCTGCGTCCACTGCCGGAGGGAGGCAGCTGCTAGGCCTAGGTGCCAAAGGGCTACCCGGCCTCAAGGATATCGTTGACAATGTATGAATAATTTCATGTCTGTACGTACAGTATTTGCGCACATGTACTTGCAGATCACATGATTACATTTATGTATGTATATGCAACGTGTATTTAATATCTATAATGTGTGTTTGCTGTCTGCCTGTCTGTCTATGTGGGTGTGAGAGAGAGAGTATAATAAGGCGCGATGGTTTGACGATAACAACAGTCGCTGCGATTTGATAAGGCGGAGGAGACGCCCATCTTATCACGAGCCACGTCCTTATATCAGTCTACTTCCCTCTCTCTCGTTTTCGTTCTCGCTTGATCTCGTAATTTTCCCATTTCTCGTGCATGTGGACCGATTTATCTATTTTGCTCCGAAATAGAAAGATCTGATACATTAGTGGATAGCCAGGCATCGTACTGGAAAATTATTTGGTTCCGGTTGTGAGGATGTTACGGGAAAATTAGCGTAACGGTTTAAGATCTCAGACAAGCACAGAGCGCAAGCTATGTATTACATGTAATCAATATATCGATCCTTTTTTTCTCTATAATTTAACCGAAAATTATTAATAAAATTCATTTCATTGATTAAATCAACAAAACATAGAAAACGGATGGAATGCTGTACATTCTGCAGCATATTTTTTAACAAAATGAAAGTTATTTAGTTAATGATATTAAGAACCAGCGAAATGGAACAATACTTGGTTACTGTGATTTCATCCAGAAATATATTATTGGAAAGCATATTAACAAAATGAAAGTTATTTAGTTAATGATATTAAGAACCAGCGAAATGGAACAATACTTGGTTACTGTGATTTCATCCAGAAATATATTATTGGAAAGCATAATTCCTGCCCGAACTGTAAATATAAGATATTAAGCAAAGTTGGTGGTTTGAACCTCTGTGGAAAGAAAAAAGGTTCATTTTTACGGAATGGACGCAAATAATAGAATAAGATAGGAGTCCATTCGGTGCTCCCGATTGGCTGCAGCTTTCGTGATTGTGATTGGCTGGCTATGTTATTCCATTTTTTTTTCTCTTCTTTTCTCTTCTTTCTTTCTTGAATTGAGACGATAGAACATGTATTGAAGCAGCAACTAAAGTGTGTAAGCCAGACAAAAATATTACATTTCATAACATCTTTCTAGTATTAAATTATTATCGGGAAAAAATAAATGCAAACTATTTTCTATCAGTACTTGAGAGTAAAAAGGGAGAATATACTATAAATTCGGTAAACCTTTAAAAAATATCGACTATGACGTCATGGATTACCGGCTATATCATGAATACGTTCCAGTGTGCCGAAAAGGTCATGAAAACGTCCCTGTAAGCCGAATCCGCCAGCCCTGCGCCCGAGTCCCAGGTCTCGCTTGCAGACCGAGGTGGAAGCAGCGTTCCTCGAGGGCGTCGGGGCAGGTCTCGTCGGCCTTCCTCCCGGCCAGCAGCCAACTCTGATTCTGAATTCACTTTGTGGCGCCGGGTTGGTCCGCACTGTAAACAATTACCAAGATGTCTGTGGGATATGACAAACATGGAAAGTCTTTTTATATTGTACAATAATCACACGTGGGCGCTCAATTAAGGTGGAGGGATTTATATTCGGTCGCTTCTTAAAATAACGCATATCGATCGAATTGCAGGAGGTCCAGAGAAAGATAAATAAATACCAATCTTTCCCAACGTGACAAGGTCGGAAATATTTCGGGAAACGAAAGGACACACGAAGAGGGAACATAACATTGTTACAAAATAGTGAAATAGATTTGTATAAAAGCTTGAAAGTGGACCACGTAACATATTGGTAATAGATTGGCAACACTCGGGGAACAGGAAGTACAAGTAAAATCTACAACACTCACAGCCTTGATTTGTAGGTCTAGTTTCAGTGCACGCTCAATAAGAGTGTGGAGCAGGTTACCAAATGACGTTAGAAGTACAATAGCACTTAAGACATTCAGAACGGACCGACATTGTGTATTTAAGGGGAGGGGAAGTCAGGGAGTGTTGTGCTGGGATTACATGTATGAAATTATCACCACCAGAGCATGGAGTAACACCAGACACTACCTGGCAAAATGTTTAAGAATTCACCATCGATTCCATGTACGGTTCGCTTGTCCTACTTGTACTATGCGTCCGAAACTGCGATTTACTCCTAAATTTATTCTTGTGTTTAGTCCCTATAACTATAATCATGTTTTAAAAGAATTATTGCATGCATCAACACGTTCTATAGTGTGGCTACTTGGATATAAATGTGCGTGGGTATGCAAGAGCATAACGAAGAGGCGACGAACTTGGCAACAGTGGATCAGTCAAGTTCATATAAAGAATGAGATACCAGCAGATAGTGTCAGATTGTATCATATTTTCCAGATAAAATTGTATATTTTTATATCGCACGCATTAGCATTATACGGGCGCGCGTGTAACCATATATATACTCATTCACTCATTCACTCATCTACTCATACTCGCACACACACACTCTCACTCACCTAACACCTCACTCACCTACTCGTTCACACTTGCACTCACTCACTCCCTCACTCACACACTCCCTATTCGCACACGCGCCGCGCGTATGTAGAAACAGGTTGGGTTCTGTATATTTAAATATGTATATATATATATATATATATATATATATATATATATATATATATATATATTTATATATATTATATTTATGCATATATATATACATGTATACGCGTATAAATACATATATATACACATATATTTACATATATATATACATATATAGATAGATGGATTGACTGATTTAATATATATATAATATATATATATATATCTATAATATGTAGAAAGTTATAAATGAAAATTAATAACTTCACAGTACTAGAGATACATTCGAAACATATAAAATGCATCTCTTGAATTGTTAAGTTATTCACTTAATTATACCTTTCTACATTTGTCTGCATTTGTCAGCATGTTAGTTTATCTATAATATATGTAATAGATACACACACACACACACACACACACACACACACACACACACACACACACACACACACACACACACACACACACACATATATAATATATATATATATATATATTATATATATATATATATATATATATATATATATATATATAACCACACATACATACATATACACGTAGGCTATAAATTGTTGAATTCCTCTCTTGTACAGCCTTGACTACATTCTCACTTCCCTATCCATCGCTTCCTGTCATTTTCATACTTCCGTATCATATGACCATAATACACAAAGCTATGCCATTTTCACGTAATTTTTAGATGACACATTTCTTAGATGATAGTTTTGATACAAGACAAGTAGAAAGAATTGTGCTTGTGTAGCTCAAAGGAAAGTAATCTTATCCTTGAAATTCATCCACGTAGGCATTGATTTTGAATCTTTGGGATATTTAGGTACGTAAATACATATACGTGATGCTGCAAAGTCTGTGATGTTAATGTTCTTATGTAAATAATATAGTATTGTGTCCATGGACCGTCATGCCTTCAGCACTTCCTTTGGTTCCGATTTTAGAATTCTTTCAATATTGAACAAATAACCACACTACTACGAATTCGACAAAAATCCTTAAAAGCACGATTTGATATAATAAAAAAGATATTCATTAAGACTTCCCAGTAATAGATATCAAAACCGAGGTGATTTGGGATTTTAAAAATGCCAAATCTCGAGCCAAGGGCAGAGATTCGGACAGTGTATCTCCAGCTGTAAACAAACAGTAACAAGTGAATGAGTTTTGTGATCGCACGCACGTCCTTTTGCTCCGCGTGTTGCACTCGTTGCTCTGGAAACCTCAAGGCTGGTGTGATTTTGAGTGGCGTAGTGATTTGAGCAGTCTTTGGCTATTTTAAAGTTAATTACTTCGATGAGCAAGACATTGAGGGGAAAGAGATAAACTTGATAGTGAATGTGTTCCTCCACGAAGGTCAGAGGAGATACTAGATTGCACTTTATGTAATTGTCTAATTAGATAACAAGGCTTCGTCAACACTGCAGATGTGTTGTGCTGTTGAAGGGTGACATTTGGAATAGGAGGGTGTGACTGCACGTCTCACGAAACTATTTATATTTTATTAAAGTGATTCAAAAATTTGATGTTTTCCAGGCATGTATCGAGAAGATAGAACATGTAGAGAAAAATTGTCTGATATTCGATAGAAAATCCATGTATAATTCTTAGAAATAGCCCAGCGACATATGACATGCTGAAAATGTACATTTGTAGATAGGACACGCAGGTTTATAATTTGGAAGGCACATACGTATGCTAAGAAAAGGAAGTGTCTTGGTTGTGTCCCAAAACTGAGGCAAAATGATGACCGAGGAAGATCGCCTGGATGAGGCAGAGGTGACCGTGGTTCTACCTGATAGAACTGTACCAGTAGAAAACCATGCACTCAGTAATGAGTCACCAACTCTCCAGGGAAGCTTGTCTCATAAGTTTGAGGTGTGTCATTATTTTCAAACTGTAGCTTTATTGGGATCCTTATTATTTTGTCCCTGTCTTCATTTATTGCTTATGTTCCTAATTTCTTTCTTCTTATTTTATTTTGTGTTCTCCCCAAGGAAAGAGAAAATGTGTGATTATAGCATAGTATAGTGTGTGTATGTGTGTTGGGGGGGTGGGGTATTTGGATGTATATTATGTTTCCTTGTATTTTATTTAATTGTCATTTGTTTTACTGAATTTCGATGTAATGTTTTCTTCATATTTGTAGTCCATGGTAAGAATGTACCATTACAAAATCTTTCTGTCTGCAAAGGACATTATTTATTATGATATATTTCAATAAGCATCTCAAACTCAAATATAAAAATTTTATGTACTGTAGCCTATACATGTCTTCCAAGGTTCTCAATATCACCTTGCATTTTCTATTTCAGTAAGGAGCTTGCTATATATTTCTTTTTTTCCTTTTAAAATAATGTAATTGCTGGTTATATTGAATTTTGATTATAATTTCAATTTCAGATTTGTAGTATTTGATATAAATTACAAAATCTTTCAGTCTACAAATAGCATTGCAATTTTATTTAAGATATTGCAGTTGCATAGGGTACTGTAATAAGCATGTCAGTCTTAAATGAGAAATTTTATGTACAATATACATACCATACAAAGCATTCTACTTGACCTGATATTTTCTATTTCATCAAGGAGATTGAATGAGCAATATAGTGTAGCATGTTAATTTCTGCATTAGAGCATGTGCTGATCATAAACACTGATTATGGAATTGTCTCTGTAGCTCTTTGCAGCATGTGTGATGGGACTTAGCACACTATCAGGTGGCTTTCTGGAAGGCTACACCTCTCCTGCTATCCCAACTCTGCTCCAGAACAGCTCCTTTGTTGAGACTGGCTTCACGGATGACACAGATGAGGAAACATCAGAGCTAACTACAATTCTGCCAGAAGTAGAGAGTACAACCATTGCGGATTGGACTGAAGAAAATACGACACTGGTTAAGCGAGATGTGATGAATGCAAACTCCACTCTGATCCCAGACGTTGAAGTGGAAGTCAGAAAACTTTTCACAGAGCTTCATTTAACGGAGGAGGTAAACTTGCAGTGATCATGTCCATTTCTTTTTTTCTTTCTTTCCTTCTTTCCTCTGCTATGGCCATATTTGGTACATAGTTAACCTTAGGCTGTAGTTCTGGTTATATTATAAATATTTCATTCATAAGATGTTAATTGTAATACTTGCAATATAATCCATGTTTTATATTACTGAGGTAAATTGTCTGCTAAATAGCTTTTGTCTATCTAATGGGTGTTATCTGTTATTTATTTTCTACACATATTTGCAGTAGATATACATGAGTAATAGCAAGATTACCTTTTGATATAAGGTCTTCTGTTGATAATTATTTTTCTTTGAAAAGAATCATAACATAATGACTAAATAAACCAGTGAATCATAAGCCCACCTTAATCCTTTAGGAGAAATTCCCAGAAGTAAAAAGAATGATGAAATCAATCACACAGAGCTGTTTTCTTCCTTCCAGATCTCTATCTGTTCTTTATAAATGGTGAAAGAGCATGAAAAGAATCTATCACAATCCATATAATTTACATGTTTCCTATTTCATGTCCTTTTATACAACAGGAAGCATCATGGTTAGGATCCTTACTCTTACTTGGAGCCTGTTTGGGTGCTTTAGTGTCCTCATGGGTAATTGGCCTTGGCAGGAGACGAGCTGTTTGTGCTTCTGCTTTTCCAAGATTCGTTGGTTGGATAATGATTAGTGCAGCTTCAGATGTGTACATGATGTATGGTGGAAGGTATGTCAGAAATGAGCTACTGATAATCAATTTTAGTCTGAGCTTTATATTTGTAACTTCATGTAGTTGCTTATTTCAATGGAAAGTAAGTATATGCTATAGATGAAGGGTAGTAATAGTATAGATGCCTTATGAATTAATTTTTCTGTTAAATAGGTTGATTTACATTTCATTTCAGATTCTTAACAGGAGTATCCATTGGTATTGTAACCTCAGCAGTTCCTGTCTACATCAGCGAGGTGGCCCATTCATCTGTTCGTGGAGCTCTCAGTTGTATTGTGCAAATAGGTGTAAATATTGGAATATTCACTGCAGCTTTTCTAGGTAAGTTTTCATTAGAGAATCATTGAAATGCAATACATCCTGCTACTATTGTTCAATACAAATTTCTGTAGTTACTCTAGTAGTATATAATCTGTATTGTCCTCTATAGGAACATTCATGGAGTGGCGTGGCCTTGCGGTGTTTGGTGCAGTCACTGTGGTGATTTACTTCGTATTTACACTCTTCATTCCGGATTCTCCAGTCTGGTTGATAATGTGTGGCCGGGATGATGATGCAAGGCAGTCATTGAGAAAGCTGAGGGGTAGAAAGTACTGTGTGGAATATGAACTTCAGCAGATTATATCTGCAAAAGCAAACCAGTAAGAGATCAATTGCATTTTCATTTTATTGTATTTTTATGCTTATCTTAAGGATTGTTTGTTTTTGTTTTGTTCTTTTTGTTACTAGTTTCAAAGATTAGGCTATAGAGTATTTATCAAAAAAATATTGATTAGTCTTACATATGAAATATAGAGAATTCATATAACTGCTACTATTTTTTAGTTTTGTACATTTTCATGTAAATGAGAGAAACACCCTATTTATTTATCTTTGTTTTACAACAGGTATAACCAATACTCATGGAGAGAGGTTGTGACACAGAGATCATGTGTATTGCCATTAGCGGTTGTGGGATTAGTCACGGTTGTAAACAGGTGCTCAGGCTATAATGCCATCATCACATACTGTGCCACTTTCCTCCACCAGGCAGTCCCAGCTGTTAGTGAATACTGGGCTGCTGCAGCTGTTACTCTAATGCAGGTATGTGGAAATGGGGAGAGCTTAAGGAAACAATTTATTTCCCACTCTCTTCTTTCAGAATGAATGATTAAAGTTTATTATATTCCTGGTATCTAGAAGGAAGAGGTTATTTTTGTATATTGTAGTTAAGTTATTGTTATATAGTTAATTTTAGTTTTTCTGCAGTTTCTTCATATCTTTAATAGAGCACTTTTTTGCAAGAACAAATCATGTCTGTTTCATAATATGTAATGTGTAATACTTATAAGGTTTAGGTGATTAGTTCCCATGTATAACTGAATAAAATTGGTACATGTTGTATTTTTATCTCCCTAACTGTAAATATGTAGATTAATGTAAAATTTAATGCAGCAGGTAATTTTCAATCTCATTACTTTTTGCTTATTAAGTTCCAGAACTCATTAGAGGCTTAATGACGAATAGGAAGTAGTTGCAGAGTGTGGTTTGCTTCACAGTATGTGCTTTGTTGGCAGATATGTTTTTTCATTACATTTTATGGAGATAATTAATCC